AAATCTTCATACAAACAGGATATACAAAATGCATATTTTTGTCAATGTATTATAAGGTGGTAGCTGATGGGGTGATCTTGCCTTTATTTGCTCTCACTGTACCTACTTAAAAACCATAATCTCCAGAAAATTGTGCAGTGACAATTACAGAATCCCAAGTTTACAATAGGTGGTTACAAAGGCTGGCCTTTACACCTCAGCATCATGTTCAATCTTTGAAAAATCTTCCAGTATATAGAGGAAGTCAAATTTTTAAGGAAGCATGCTGAAAACTCACTTTAACTCTTCACACAGAGTTTGATATACGACCCTTCCATTTTAGATTCCTTCCAGGAGGATTTAGTCATTTTGTAATATCATAATTTAATCTTTTTTCATTTTTCTATAAAATAAAGAGGCATTGTAGCATTTGTGCTTAAGATTGTGGGTTATGGAATCAGACTGCCTAGTTTCAAGTCCTACTTATACTATTAATTTCCATATGCCTCAGTTTCCTTATCTCAAAATTGAGGATAATAGTACTTATTTCATGCAGTTGTTTTGAGTTTTTAACCAGATAATCCATGTAAAGCACCCAAAATACAGGCATACTTCATTTTATCGTGCTTCACAGATATTGCACTTTTTACAAAGTAAAGGCTTGTGGCAACCCTGCCTTACATAAGGCAAGTCTATCAGTGCTATTTTTCCAAGAGCATATGCTCACTTCGTGTCTCTGTGTCACATTTTGGTAATTTTCACAATATTTCAAACTTTTACACTGTTATTAATATATCTGTTATGGTGATCTGTGATCAATCATCTTTGATATTACTATTATAATTGTTTTGGAGCACTGCAAACCATGCTCATATAAGAGGACAAACTTAATTGATAAATGTTATGTGCTTGATAAATTCTGACTGCCCTACCAACTGGCCATTTCGTGTCTCTCTCCCTCTCCTCAGGCCTCTTATTCCCTGACACACAACAATATTGAAATTAGGCCAATCAATACCCCTAGAATTGCCTCTAAGTGTTCAGGTGAAAGCAAGAGTCACATGTCTCTCATTTTAAATCAAAAGCTAGAAATAATTAAGCTTAGTGAGGAAGGCATGTCAAAAGTTGAGATAGGCTGAAAGCTAGGCCTCTTGGGCCATATAGTTAGCCAAGTTGTGAAAACAAAGGAAAGTTCTTAAAGTGCTACTCCAGTAAGCACACAAATGATAAGAAGGTGAAACAGCTTTATTTCTGATATGGAATGAGTTTTATTGGTCTGAGTAAAAGAGCAAACCAGCCAAAGATTGCCTTAAAACAAAGCCTAATCCAAAGCAAGGCCCTAACTCTCTTCAATTCTGGGAGAGGCGAAGAAGTTGCAGAAGAAAAGTTGGAAGCTAGCAGAGATTGGTTTTTGAGCTTTAAGGAAAGAAGCCATCTCTGTGACATAAAAATGCAAGGTGAAGCAGCAAGTGCTGATGGAGAAGCTACAAGTTATCCAGAAGATCTAGCTAAGATCGTTGATGAATGTGGCTACACTAAACAACAGATTTTCAATATAGACAAAATAGCTTTCTATTGGAAGAAGATGCTACCTAAAACTTTCATAGCTAGAGAGAAGTCAAATCCCTGGCTTCAGAGTTTCAAAGCATAGGCTAACTCTCTTGTTAGGGGTTAATGCAACTAAGGATTTTAAGTTGAAGCCAGTGCTCATTTACCATTCCAAAAATCCTAGGACTCTTAAGAATTGTGCTACATCTACTCTGCCTGTGCTCTGTAAATGGAACAACCAAGCCTGGATGACAGCACGACTGTTGACAGCATGGTTTACTGAATATTTTAAGCCCATTGTTGAGACCTACTGCTCAGAAAAACAGATTCCTTTCAAAATATTACTGCTCATTGACAATGCACCTAGTCACTCAAGAGCTCTGATGGAGATGTAGAAGGAGATTAATGTTGTTTTCGTGCCTGCTAACGCAACATCCATTGTGCTGCCCGTGAATCAAAGGGTAATTTTAACTTTCAAGTCTTATTATTCAAGAAATACATGTTGTAAGGCTATAGCTGCCATAAATAGTGATTCCTTTGATAGATAAAGTCAGTTTGAAAACCTTCTTGAAAGTATTCACCATACCTGATGCCTTTTTGGAACATTCGAGATTCATGGGAGGAGGTTAAAATATTCACATTAGGCCAGGCGTAGTGGCTCACACCTGTAATCCTAGCACTCTGGGAGGCTGAGGCAGGCGGATCGTTTGAGCTCAGGAGTTCGAGACCAGCCTGAGCAAGAGCGAGACCCCATCTCTACTAAAAATAGAAAGAAATTGGCTGGACAACTAAAAATATATAGAAAAAATTAGCCAGGCATGGTGGTGCATCAGCTACTCGGGAGGCTGAGGCAGAAGGATCGCTTGAGCCCAGGAGTTTGAGGTTGCTGTGAGCTAGGCTGATGCCACGGCACTCTAGCCTGGGCAAAAGGAGTGAGACTCTGTCTCAAAAAAAAAAATATTCACATTAACAGGAGTTTGGAAGAAGTTGATTCCAACTCTCATGGTACTTTGAGAGATTCAAGACTTCAGTGGAAGAAGGAACCACAAATGTAGTAGAAATACAAGAGAATTATAATAGAATTAGAAGTAGATCCTGAAGATGTGACTAAGTTGCTGTAGTCTCATGATCAAACTAATGGATGAGGAGTTGCCTCTTGTAGATGACCAAAGAAAGTAGTTTCTTGAGATGGAATCTACTCCTGGTGAAGATGCCATGAACACTGTTGAAATGACCACAAAGAATTTAGAATATTACATAAACTTAATTGATAAAGCAATGGCAGGGTTCAAGGGGATTCCCTTTAATTTTGAAAGAAGTTCTACTCTGGGTAAATTGCTATCAAACAGTATCACATGCTACAGAAAAATCTTTTGTGAAAAGAAGATTCAATTGATGTGACAAACTTTACTGTTGTCTTGTTTTAAGAAATTGCCATGGCCACCTAAGTCTTCAGGAACCACCACCCTGATCATTGAGCAGCCATCAGCATTGAGACAAGACTCTCCACCAGAAAAAAGATTACAACTTTCTGAAGGCTCAGATGATTGTTAGCATTTTTAACAATAAAGTAATTTTAATTAAGGTTTGTACATCGTTTTTCCAGGCATGATTTTTCACATTTAATAGACTATAGTGTAAACATAACTTATGTGCACTAGGAAACCAGAATATTTGTGTGACTCACTTTATTGTAATATTCTCTTTATTGCTGTGGTCTGGAACCAAACCTGCAGTATCTCTGAGGTGTGCCTGTCATGCCTGACGTAGTAAAGTCTCAACAGATGTTGGCTATTATTGTATAAGATTGTCTTATCTATAACAGAGGCTGTAATCTTAGAATATTATATACCAGAATGAGGCAAAATATTCAGTTTCTTTCCTTGCCTCTTTTCCTGTAAGAATTTTTTATTGGGACATCCTCAACAGTGGTGGCCTAATTCCTGCACCTACTGAATTTAGGTTTCCTTGGCCCGTCAATATTTGCAGCTCTTCAATCTAGAATCAGCACAATTATAATGGGAAGTCAAGCAAAACATTTTTTTGCATAAAGAGAGGAAGGCAGAATGTGAGATGGCGTTGACATCTGTGCCTCTGCCCTGGGCCAAAAGCAGAGTGGTTATTTGCTGCTGATTCGGCACCCCATCTGCTGCCTTCTCCGGTGGTTAAGCCCCTCTTCCCTTTCCCCTCCCTTCAGAGCCCAGGGATGATGAAGTCAGAGGGAGAAGTTTGGAATGTAAAGCATCCAAGGAGGAAGACAGGACAGAGGTTCAGGGAAAGACAACAGATAGATGAGCCCCATTCTGCAGGTGACCCCGTCGGTAAATACTAGGTCTTCTCTGCCAATGGCAATTTTACAAATGTTTGAAAGACTGTGTGTCATTGGCTATTCAGGCAGAAAAAGAAAAAAAAAAAAAAAAGACTGTGTGAAGATTAAAAAACACAGCCTGTTCTAGTGAATCTCCATTTTTCTGCTTGAGAGCTTTTCTGACATCTGACTCAAAAATATACTGAACTTTTTTTTTTAAACTCTTAAACTTTTTTTTTTTTAGTTTTTTTTTTTTTTTTAATTTCAGCATATTATGGGGGTACAGATGTTTAGGTTACGTATGTTGCCCTTGTCCCCCCTCCCCACCAAGTCCGAGTTTCAGGCGTGTCCATCTCTCGGATGGTGTAAACTTTTTTTTTTAACTCTTAGTCTAGGCCCTCAGAATAACTCTTTATTTTCACCAAGGGTGCTCTAACTTTTGAATATGTCCTTTGTTTCTCTTTTCCTATAGCATTTAACTCATTCCACTTGCCAATTAATCAATTTACAGACCTAACTTCCACTGAAGCAGTTTCTTATTTTATGGTAACATCTTCTGCCCGATCTGAGAGGTACAACTTGGGCTTTCTATAACGTGGTTATCTGAGAACCACTCATTTAAAGTTCAGAATACAAAACATCACACACACACAAAGGCTATCAGTCTGTAATGTCGTAATTGAACTGTTTAATTGATTTTGAGTAGTTAAGCAATAGAGATGAGTGCCCCAGAAAGGCATGTGGTGAGTAAACAAAAGGAAGCAATTAGGAGGAGGAGCTAGGGAGAAATTGCTTGTCTTATGGATCTCTTTATTTGTAATAAAAAATTTTTAATAACATTTTTCCTTTCAAAGTTCAAGGCTTATTTTTAGCTTAGACTGATTTTTTTCTCCAGTTATCATTTCCTGATGATTTTTCCAACTTTGTGTATAATTCAAAACAATGAAGCTATTACGTTAATACGGAGTATTTGGGGGGTTATTTTTCATGCTGCTCAGCTGCTATATTTTATTTTCACTTACATTTGAGGTTTTTCTAACCTCTCATTCAAAGGGGCAGTTGGCTCTGATTCTGCCTTTAAGTTTTGGTGGATCTTAATAATAATTCAGTGCATATGTAGTTTTCATTCAGTGCTTTAAAAAATACCTTTATGTTTGCTTTCTAGACTGATTTTGCACGATTTAGTGGAACGAATGTGGAAACTGACTTTGTAGAGGTACCATCACAAATGCTTGAAAATTGGGTGTGGGACATTGATTCCCTCCGAAGATTGTCAAAACATTATAAAGATGGAAACCCTATTACAGATGATCTGCTTGAAAAACTTGTTGCTTCTAGACTGGTCAACACAGGTATGACTTGTAATTTTAGAGAAGGAAAATAAATTAGAATCACTTAATGCAGAATTGCTGGCGTCTTTGTGTACAGAACTTATTTTCCCTTTAATAGTAATGATACCGCAAGAGTGCTAATATGAGGAGTGAAAATGCTAAATATATTGGAATAAGGAACCCTGGGATTATGTCTAAGAAAAAAAACCACATCTCCTTTTAAATCTTAAGTAAAATGAGATATGTTGCTCCCATTTTGTGATGAGTACTGCTGGAATTAGATTTTGAAATCTATGATCTTGAGTTATTGGAACACACAGTTCTCTCCTCTCGAAAACATGCTCAAACATTCTTATGTTATTAGGACTTCTGACCCTACGCCAGATTGTTTTGAGCAAAGTTGATCAGTCTCTCCATACGAACACGTCACTGGATGCTGCAAGTGAATATGCCAAATACTGCTCAGAAATATTAGGTGTTGCAGCTACTCCAGGTACGTAAATACTATGAGTTGAGTTCATTTTTCCTGTGAAGCCCAGGGCATTCTCCTAACACCACAGGGGAGGTGGAGTTTGTCAGACAGATTGCCTAATTTGTTTCTGATTTCTGTAATCAGGCCATGACTTTCAGATAAGCGTACTCTGTCCTTATGAGTTACCCTGTTCAAATGTGCTTCAAGGAAAGGTGGCTCCAGATTCGCAGCATTTTAGTGTAATCAAGCGTGAGCAGTCTCCACCCCAGAGCTGAGGGTGTTTGGCAGCACCCTCCTTGTTCCGCCCTCCCTGTATGCACCGTGACTTCCCTGTAATTTTCAGTAAGAAGTTGGCAGGAGGGGCATTTTTAGAGAGAAGCGTGAACTTCTACCTTGTTTCTGATTCTGAAGTCAATTAAAGCATTTCACTAGGAGTTTCTAACCTGAGATTTATGGGACTCATTTGTATGTGTTTGTATTTGTATGTATGTATTTTAAACCAACATATCATTGTGCATTTATATGTAAGTGATAAGGTGAATTTTTTTCACCAAGGAAATTGTTCTTACGATGAATCAGCCACATTTATAGAGATAATAAAGAATGGCCAGTTGAGTCAATCTATGCTCTTCACCTCTTTTGGTGATCTGTTTATAGTAAACCGTAGAGCAACTTTGTGTCTCAAGCCACTTTGACAAAGTCTTTTATAAAGTAGCCCTACATATAGATTGAATTGGTAAAGAGTTCCTTTTCAGTAATTATCAACCTAAAATAAGTGCCATTCTGAGACATTTTAGATAGAAAGAGATGTGGCAAAGAGCAGGATTGATATTATTTTTTAAGACACAAAGGTGTTTGAGGGATAAGAAAGGACTGACTTCAGTTCTAAAATACTGAGCTATCTGATGGGTGTGGACAAAGCCTCTGAAACTGTCGTTAGGCATTCCAGAGCTTGGGGCCGAAACCAGCTCTGAGGTTGAGCCATCAGTAGAAGAGACGTTTGTAAACATCATGGCTGAGGGCACACATAAACCCGGAGAGTACTAGAGATGAGATCGTGTCATTCCCTCTCTCCTCCCACAGCTGGACTCCCCAAAGGGAAACCTTAGCTAGCTGATAACCTGATAATTAACATTTGCTATCACATTGATTGAAATGTATCTTTTCTTAAAGGCACAAATATGCCAGCTACTTTTGGACATTTGGCAGGGGGATATGATGGCCAATATTATGGATATCTTTGGAGTGAAGTATTTTCCATGGACATGTTTTACAGCTGTTTTAAAAAAGAAGGGATAATGAATCCAGAGGTATTGTATTTTTTTTCCCTCCTTTTGTTAATTTTCTAGTAGCTCCCTCCCCTTGTACTCCTAGTGTAAAATATTTATTACACCTAGATTTTAGAGTAAGAGGTTTAGTAACAGCTTTAACTTCAAGGTCTTATATCTTCTCAAATCATCATACATCATTAAGTTGCAGTGTACAAGTGATTAACTCTAGTTCTATAGGTTTAAAAAAACCTACTGCATTTTCTTGCCTATTGACATTCCAATATATTGCATAATTAAAAATTCAAAGCTTTGTTTGTGCGTTCAAGAATTTATAGCTGCTAGTTTTGACATGTTCCATACAATGTTTTAGTTTTATAGTTATAGGAGGTTGGGAAAGAAAGGTAAACCCCTTCCCAATGTAAATGAGCTCCCTGTTTTGATATTCTCTACACGTTTTCTTTGTACACTTTCTGTGGGAGGCACTCTTTTTCTGTGGCTGGCATACCCCACCTACCACATAGTTTGTAACCTTAATGCCTTTAAGTAACTTAAGCTGCTTCATTAACCTGAGCCATTCCTTTCTGTGCACAGTGAATTGACCGCCAAGTGGCTACCAGACAAACCTGCTTGAGTCACAGCCCCTTAGTCCCCATGCTGATGAGGACTCAGCTGTCAGGTTATTTCTAAGGCTAACGCATTTTCTGATGTGTCTTAAAATTCTGTTTGATTCAGATTTCCAAAGAAAAAATAATGAATAAGCAGGCTTTGCTTATTTCAATCAATTGATTTGTTCTCCAAACTTTTTGTTTGTTTGTTTTTGAGGCAGCATCTCTCTCTGTTGCCCACGCTAAAGTGCAACAGCATCATCATAGCTCACTGCAACCTCAAAAGCATGGGTTCAAGCAATCCTCCCGCCTCAGCCTTCCAAGTAGCCGGAACTACAGGCGCGTGCCACCACACCCAGCTATCTCCGAACTTTTTGTTTCTATATTGCATAGTGCCTTACACATATGAATTGAAATACATTGGCACAGCTTAGATCACCATTCCCTCCCCACCTTCCCCCTCAAAAAATACCTCCAAGATACCACCAGTACTTTACACTCACTGTTCTTTCCAAGCATTCCATCTCCCACCCCACCCCACCCCTCCCAATCTGTTAATTCCCTTTAAGCCTCCTTCCATTATGTGGCCAACCATTTACCAAGGTCAATTACTGACTGTTTTTCTGATATCCTGACTTGTGCAAGACCTTCAGCCAGTGCCTGGCCCTCAATTCCTTCACCATTTCTCTTAGAGATGGTGCCCTTGGGATTCATAGTGTTCTGGAGAAGATTAAATGACTCCATTAACATGCCCTACTATGAAATCATGCTCCCCAACCTGAACTGGACACCCGGTGTTACCTTACAGTCTACTCCATTCCTCTTACTGGTTCCCCCCAAGTCCCCTTCACCTCTCTTCTCTGTCAGCAGACAGCCTCTCCTCTTTATTTAAAAAATCAAGATTATTGCAAGTGAGTACCTTCATCTTTCTTTCTCTACACTTCAGTACTTACCTTCTTTCCCCTGTCTCGGGGGAGATGTCTCTAACTCCAAGCCTTATTATTGGTTTGCCATCTTGGGAAAATATTTGCTACTGACTTTGTTAACACGAGTCAGTGCTACTCCTCTGTTCTTCTTTGCACAGCCTAATTTCTTGATGTAAGAAGGAGTCTGCAAACCTCAATTTCCTGCCTTTTGCCCCACCAACTGAGTTGGAAAGTTACCCTCCCTCCAAAGTTACCACCTCCAAAGGCCCTCGCTCACCTTTCTCTTCTCCCTGCTGCTTGTTACTCCTCTCTTTGTTCACAGCCCTTAGCTTAACAATCAACCCCTTCTTCACTTCCCAGTACTCCCTGTGTATCAGACAAGTGTATGTGTCCCTTGGGTCTTTTCCACCTTCCCAAATGTATTCATTCTGTTTTATTCACCTAAAATATACGCCTTTGTTGTCTATTCCTCTAAAAAATCCTACCATTGTTAACAGCCCCACTCAAATAACCACCTATTTGTGAAATCTTCCAGATCATCCAAACCAAAAGTGATCTTTCCATCCTCTGAACATAAGAGTGGGCTTGGGCATGGGGGAAGGGCTTTAATAAGCTTCTTCTTATGTCTGGAATATGTAATGTAACTATTACCAGTTGAAAAACAATCATATTATAAAATATTTTATACCACAGAATGCAAATTTTGATTTTAAAATGTGTTCAGAAAAAAAAAAGCTGTCAGTGGTCATCTTTGGGTGGTAAGTTTATGAGTGATTATTAAATTTTTTTATGTACTCTTTATGGAGGTTTTCCTTATTTTTACATAGTGCATCATTATTTTAAAAGTCAAAAGCAGTGTTTTAAAGAGACAAAAGATCCAATATGTAAAGATATAATTATGACATTTCACTGGCACTTAGTTAGTTATACTTCCTGGTATAAGTGTACATCACCTTTCTCAGTTAAGCCTTCCTCATTCACCTCCTCTGCTTCCACTCACGTGACCACATCCCTAGGTCCCTCTATCGTTTTACCTTTTCTCTTCCAGCTGTCAAGGTGGCAGCCAAACTACTGATCCCAGCAAATCCCAAGGAACTTGCAAGTCCATCAGAAGCGATCCTTGCCATCATGCTTCTCTGTACTTCCTCTTCCCCTCAAGCTTCACAGCTTGGCAGGCAGCCATGCTACTCTTAATTTAGGCCAAGGGGCTGGATTAAACTTGGAGAAAGCAAGATTCCCAACAACTTGGAGTTAAAAACAGTTTTCAGTTTTATTAAAATTCTGGATTCAATAGTGCTGTGTATCATTAGACATCTTATGCCATAAGGCTGGTATTAACCCCTTCCCTTTCACTTCTTTTTCTTTTCCTACTAAACGCTCTGGAGTGTCATGTCACTTCTTGCTGCCCATTTGGCAGAGCAATAGTGGACTTGGCGCCAGAGGTCAAGGAGAATCCCTTTGCTCCTCACCCTGACACTCTTTGCTGCAGTGGCAGATACTGGAAGCAGCTTTTCAAGTCACGGTTTTATTCCCTCCTACAGTGTACTGGGTTATTTTTTGGGCAGGAGGGGTTGTTTTGTTTTTTAATAAATATTTGTTCTAAAGTAACCCCTCACTTACAAAATTCAAATACCCACTTACTAAAAATCAATGCTTCGGGACAACAATCCTATTCTACAAAAAATTTAGATTGTTATTACAACTATGTTGTGATCAATAGAAAAAGAACTATCATTGTTCAGACCAGTAAACCATACACTACTTATTTTATGCCATAACTACAGAGTCTTTTTATTAGCCAACACTGAAAAAGATGGCATTAGCTTGGGTTGTTTCAGATTCGGTGCATTTGCTTTAGTCTCACATGTCAATGGTGGTTACTTTACCAGATATATAAACAGGATAAAAATATGAATTTTATGATATAAAATAATCACTTTGATCTGAAGTCATGGGAATCAGAGCAATCAAAATATATCATGCAGACGTTGTTTTCTCACCCTCCTTAATACGTTTTTGGATCATTTTAAGAAGAGAGCGGGATGGCCCTTCAAAGAGTCAGGGCCTGTTATTGTTAGTCCCCAAGCACTAGAGAGGCTGGAGGCTGAGAGATCACATATTGTTGTCATTATTGGTCATGCAATACAGAGAAATATGTCCAGGCCTTCTCTCTGTAACCTCCTACCATCCTGCAAAGCCCAGGGTCTACACTGGGAACCATTTCAGATCTTAGCGAGCAGAACTGTAGAAAGTGTGCTGCTTGCTGGGAAAACAGTAATAGGAAGGGTTAAATATAAACCTGCAACCTTCTCAATAATAAATAGTAGCAGTGGAATATTTTATGGTACAGTTGTTTTCATTCTGTTTTGAGGGCCTCTATCAAAGTATTAGAACTGGCTGCTTACCTACAATAGCCTGAAAGTTTGCTACCTCCAGTTCTATCTATCATTTTTTATATTATTCCTGCTAGTAAATAGATATCATATCTTGCTGTTTAATTAGTTAAACATTACCTAACATCTTTGTTTCTAGAAGTACATAGAGAAATTGTCTCATTATCGGATGTATTTTTCATTTCTCCAGCTGTTCTCTTAAATAACCATGGAAGGGAACTTCTTGGGATTAACACTTTTCCAGCAAGCTCTAGGAGCTGTTTAAGGATATCTTTAAGGTCACCAATTGTAATTTCAAAATCCAGCAACTAATCATAGGGTTGAAAGAATGGGGGCTTTTTAGCTAGGGCTATTTCTTTTTATAAGGCAACTTCATTGTGGGAAAATTTCCTAAGAGGTAATAGACATTGTGGATTGAAAGGCAATTATGTTGTTAAGCCAGTAGTATCTTCCTCCTCTTTTGCTTTGGAGAAATTGCTAAGCTTTGTTTCTTCCATCAGTGAAGGAGAAATACTACCAAGTGTCATTTCTGAAAGAAAGATAGTTAACTGTCATTTAGTCTGTAATGCCATAAAGAAGTAGCTAGAATGATCTTACATGCAATAACAGCCACAGAAACATGAAGAATCTTGGTTAAACATGAAAAGAATTGCTCAACAGATAATTTTGATCATATAAAGATAAGTATTCCAGTGCTCTTCAAACAGAATCCATGGCCCAGTTCCTGCTGTAGTGTGTTGCTGAAGGTGAATACGAAATTTCCTCTCCAGAAAGGCCTTACAAATGGATTCAGTTTCCTCTGCTTCAGCTCCCTGATCTACCACCCACTGATGGTTTTCTTATACCTCAAGCTTTCTAATAGCCTGAGGTTTTGCCTGATTTGAGGGACAAAGGAAGGAAAGGGGATTGATTTCCAACCCACTTCTTGAATATTTACAAGGCCAGACCTTCTAAGTCTTGAATCTCAACCAGCTGGAAGCAGTTTTTCTTCCTTTGTGTTCTTACAGCCCTTCTTTGTGTTTCTCTTAGAGCCATAATAATCTGCCTGTTTAACTGTTTATTTCTTTATCTTCCCTTGATCATAAGACCCTAATAAAAGGAACAATTTTATTCAGCCTTGTGTTCCCTTCTCTGCTTCACAACTGTTTAATTAATTACTGTTTTACATGTGTGAACCTCTTTGGACCTAATTGCTGGTTCCCTCCATCCACATCCACTTCCACTTCTCTACACCCTCCTCCCCCAGGCATGTAACTACTCAGGGTACTTTTTTTCTTGCTGGCCTCCTCCCATCCCGTAAATAAAGGTTTATCCTTCTGTCCTTACAAATCAGAGCTCTGCTTCAGATTTCCAGAGGCCTCTTACAATCAGACAACAATTCCTACTACTGTTCTTCCCTCTACCTCCCTGACTACCAGCACCAGTCTTTCACACTCTCTCTCCTTCTTTGTTGTTATCAAAGGTATTCTTTTTTCTTCCACCCATAATCTCCCCACCCTCACAGAAAACACAGGTTGTGCTCTTGGGAGGGAGTTACAGGCTGGGGAATGAAAGGTTTCAAAGTCCAATTTTAAAGCAGCCGGGTGAGCTTGTCAGCTGCCTGCTCACCATCACCTGTCCTGGGCTGGGTGCTCCCTGCCCTGATGCCTGTTACTCACTCTAAGGAAACAACTCTGGCTACGTACCCCAGAGTCAACCACGATGGGAAGGAGACAGGGAGGGAGGGTTAAAAGGCAGTGGGAGCTTGCATGCGCTGCTTCAGAGACGCCCGAGATAGCAGGAGACCCAATCTGTTTCCCATTTACATGTTCTCATTGCTGATAGATGATGGGCATCCTTCACTTGAATAATTATGATTGCTATTAAAATATTACCTCAAAGGGTGCATATTCCTGGATAAAATGAGTGCCTGAGTGCCTTGTCTCTCCTAGTTAATATACCTACTGAATTATATATTTCATATCTTACTAATAGGGGAAAGGAAGTCTCTTGAGCTTTTCTCTAGCTTTATTAGGAGACAGAACTAATTTTAAAGAAATGCCAAACCAGGAATGCATTTCTCTGAAGCGTATTTGAGTTGCTGAACTTGAGGGCAGTATGAAAGAGAAAGGAAAGGAAAGGAACAGTAAGGTTTATTAAATACCAGAATATGGCAGGTATTATGCTAGGGAGTGGATAATATACTAATCGCCTAGAAACAGAGTGAGGTAGGCATATTCCCATTTTACAGATGGGGAAATCAAGGCCCAAGGTCACATAGGTGAGGATTGAGCCAACAGTCAAACCTTGGCCTGATTCCAGAGTGCCTGATCTTGCTTTAGAAGCCATTAGTGTTAGAGAAGCCTTGTAGGGTTGCCAAAAGATACATGCTAATCTTCTGGGATTAAAAACCACAGAGATGACTAATGCTGACTTTTCTTCATAGGCTAGCTAATAGCAGTTTTTACTATACACAGATCCTCCTAAAGGATGTTCGTAGCACGAAAAATTTTAGCAGTTATCTTAGAGCTTCTCTTCCTGCTTTCCTCGCAGTTAAAGTTTCTTTATTGTATAAACAAAGTAGGACAACTCATGGCAAAGACTCCTTCCACCTGTGGCATATGTCTTCCAGACCCTGTTCTCTCACCCAGACAGCCTGGTACCTTCCTAAAACACAAAAATTCACTTAGCTATTTTTTTTTCTTAAGAAAAGCAAGATCCTGTTACCAAAATGACTCTTAAACTCTTCTCAAAACTTCATTGCCAAGGAAATGAAACTATTAAAAGACCATTGCTCTATAATTCAGGAAATTGAATCAACTTGTTTGGAGCCATAAGCAGAGGTAGGCTCGAGCTATGCTGGGACACGTACTGTGAGACTGAACAGTGCCCTGCTCTAAAATGACTTTTCCATTCAGAGGAGTCATGAGCTTTCTCTTTACCACATCATGCAACTCCTCAAATGCGTGCTTTTATTTACTCCCTAAAATTACAGTTCTCTGCACAAAATGAGAATACTTTGTCAGATGTTAGCATTTGGGGTGATTTTTAAAAAAGTTTTATTTAGATTTTCATTAATGTTTCTAAAATACTTGTGGAATGAATGTCTTTTTAATAAAAGATATATAATACACATGTCTTAAGTTTTCCATAAATAAAAGGTTTAAACTATTTTTATAATTCTACAGAAAAACTTAACTCACATTTTCTAAGTTCTTCTTGTACTGCTATACCCAGAGAGCACAATCTGTCTTTGTTCTATTCACTAATTTAACACTGGTCAAATCTAGGCACGTTGGGCAATGAAAGAAAGAAAAGGGAGGTAAATTGTGGATGGACTCAAGAGATCTGATATACTCCTTCTTAGAATAATAAAGTCTATAACAAGAATAGCCATCACTCACATTTTAGATTTTAGATTGCTGCTGTAACAGTAATGAATTGCTCAGACCAAGCAAGAAGTGACACGTCATTTTTTGAATTGAATTGAATCTAACTCCAAACCTGCATCACCAGACTTTTCAGGAAGTCCAATATCAATGATTACAAGCCCTCTCTTTTTAAGAAAATTTATCCAAAACTTGTAAATAGGGCAACACAAGTACTGTATGCCTTTTCAATATCATACTAGAACACTGTCTAACAAGCCCTCCCTCCTAGAGATCACCTTACCCTCTAGGCCCTAGACCTGTCCAGTAAGGTAGCCACCTGTGGTTACTGAGCACTTGAAATGAGGCTAGTGCAACTGAAGAACTGAATTGAGATGTGCCATAAATGTGAAAAACCACCGGAGTTGGAGGACTTAAATCAACAACCAAAAAAAATCTCAATAATCCGCATATTGATACATGTTGAAATGATAATATTATGTATATAGCGGTTTAAATAAAACATTTTATAAAACTTTTACCCTTTTTTTAACTTTTTACTTTTTTTTTACATGGCCACTTTTTTTTAACTTTTTAAAATGTGGTTAGTAGAAAATTCAAAGTTATATATGTGCCTCATATTATGATTCTATTGTACAGTGCTACCTGAGTTTATGAGAAGGTAGGTTTATCTGACTATTTATTCCTGATTAGGGTCCAGACTGTGAGGTTAGATGTTAGCCTGAGGAAGATTAATAAGTTTCAGATGATTTCTGTTCATAACCAAAGAGTAACCCCCAAAATTTTTATGTTGTGGCCCTGGAGAACATTAAATATTTTTGTATCTAACTTGGCATATTTCATCTGTGTTTTATTTTCCTTAACTTGGCATATTTCATCTGTGTTTTATTTTCCTTAACTTGGCATATTTCATCTGTGTTTTATTTTCCTTAACAGTTTAACTACACTTACCTCTGTTATAAGATTTTATATCAAGAAAACTCTTGTTATAAGTCAAAAGTTAGATTACTTTAGTCTCTAGAAATTCTCTAGCTCTTTTTATACTCTTTTTATACTCATCAAAAAGATGATTAGTCCTATTGATCAAATGATATAATGGATATAAATTTAAGTGTTTCTCTGTGAGCTCTTTATGTGTATATTTAAAATTGTGCTTCATTGAATTGTCTTACTTTCCTTCCGCAAAAGGACAGTGAAAGGGAAGTGAAAATATTGAACAATGCTAATACCCAGTAACAAGTGTTTTCTTTCACTTTATCTGCTCATGTGTTTATGTAAATAAAAGCAGAGGCACTGTGATTGGTTTTAAAATTTCCAGACCTCCATTCCCATAGAAAACTTTAAGGTCATCATTCCCAGCACCAGGTCCACAGAAATGTCTTACCCTGCACTCTGGGGCATGTGCTGCCCTCCCTGCCCCCATCGACAGGGAAGAGTGTTGGTTTTTTTTTTTCTAATGAGCCCTTTATAAAAGCAGCCAAAGCCATTTGACAGTAGCTGTGCTGCTATTTCCAGGTACACAGAACCTCTCTTTGTATACCTCTTGAACACTTGCTTAGCGAGCCCTTTTGAATCGCATTTGAGATAGGGTAACAAATGGGAACCTGTTCTATATATTCCATTTGGCTACTTTTTGTTTGTTTGCTCATGTTCTCAGCTCACTACTGAGAATCTAAGGAGACAAGACCATAATAAAGGAAAGCATATAAGACCTGAGGTTTTAAGCTCCAAATCACTTAGCTACGAAAATAAATAAATAAATACCATAGAGCTGTAGCGTAGGCAAGAGAGAACATCTAGACAGAATAAAGCTAAGGTCCCTTTTCCTTCACTTCTACATCTTTCTCTTTTGCATCTAAAGATTTAGAAAAGTGCTATAACCATGAATTATTAGGCATGATGTTTTATTTTATTAGGTTGGAATGAAATACAGAAACCTAATCCTGAAACCTGGGGGATCTCTGGACGGCATGGACATGCTCCAGAATTTCCTGGAACGTGAGCCAAACCAAAAAGCGTTCCTAATGAGTCGAGGCCTGCACGCTTCGTAAACCGGGGATCTTTGGTAGCAGTCCATGTCTGGAGGACAAGTCGACATCGCCATGTGTTACTGGCCTGGAAACTGAAGGGAGTTTTTTGCAAGTGAATATTTAGATTTCTATTGACTTCCTTTTGTTTTGTAATTTTAAAAATTATAAAGATGTAAATGGAATTATAAATACTGTGACCTAAGACCCACTAGAAAGTAATTGTACCATAAAATTTCATAAAAATGGATTTGATTTGTTTTTATAAAAGTTTCATATGAATGTAATTTGATTTTTTACTATTATAATCTAAATAATATAATGGAAGAGGGCTAAGGATTTTTAAATTGAATCATATATGTGGTATTATTTGATCCTTCTTATATCTTGATGTTTTGTACTTGGGATTTCTGGACTGATAAATGAATCAGCACATTCCTCTGGTAGATATTTTCTTAGAGCCCTGCATCAGCTTTGATCCTCTGTCTCACAGCAAGGTGTGACCGCTCCTTTGCCTGCATACCTCAAGGCCAGGGAATATGCCTCAGTAACGCATTTGTCTGTGTGTATCAGGCCTCAGGGTCCCCAACTTTCTGCCACACTTCCATTATGTTCCTCCATTTGGGTTTGTCTTTTTTGTCTTAAGTCCAGTCAGAGAATATCCAAAAATCATGTGTTTCAGCTAGACTGGCCTAAGGTACATTGTAAGTTTTTATATCTTTTATTACAGGATTTTGTGTCTTGTATTAGAAGCTCATTTCCACTTCAACATACAAGATCGTCAGTCTTTGGCATATTTGCCAATTAGAACACTAAGGCAAGTCCAGGCATATTTTTCTATTCTCCCATTTCTAACAAGGCATAGGGACTTTGCCTCCTTTCCTGCCCACCTCACACAAAGTGGCAGGTAGACATGTCACAGTGGCTCTGTAGAGTGCTGTGGGAAGACAGCTGAAGCTGTGCGGAGCATAAAGAGTTCAGAAAGTCTGGGAGAGGAGTGCATTCTGGACTGAAGCATTTGAGGACAGCTGCTTTGAAGTGTTACTTGTGTGCTTAAACTCAACCGCGGGAAGGAGGCTCTTCAGTAGCCTATTTTGTCTGGTGATAAGTGAACCTTTGGATCTCTCTTTAACTCTCTTTATTATGGGCCTAAATTCCAGTTCTGCAGCAGACCAGTAAACTCACAGTATTTATTTTCCCCCAAGGAGTCTATTCAATAAGGAAACCAAGCAGAATAATTAAAAAAAAAAATTTTTTTTAAATTTTGAATATACTCTGCATAGGTCTTCCAGTTGTTTCCCAGTGCATACCTGAGGCATGACTTTGCTGGCTGGGGACAAACTTAGAACCTTTCTATTCTTTAAATGTACTTTGTGCTAAATAAAAAATTATTATGTTACATAATAAAATTATAGACAGCAGGGAAAATCAACAGCTATAGCAACACAGAAGGAAATTCTAAGATTATAATTGCCAAGCAAATACCTTAAACATCCATATGAAATCCTCCCCTCCCTTCTGAGAAAATTTGCCCAGGCCATTTCTATCCCAAACTCAGTCAACGTCACTCCCTTTGGTCCCCAAAGCTGTTTTTGTGATCTTAGCAACCAATGGTAGTTTTCTTCTACTTTTTTTCTCCCAGATGCTTCTGTTTTCCAGTTTCAGACCAAAAAACTCTCTTCAGCTTTTTCTATTGCCTGATATGTCACCTTAACAATAACTTTAGCATTTTAAATCTTATTTCCCATGGAAGAATTAATTGGTGTGGAAAAAGGCTGCATACAATAAAATTACATTATTATGAGAATGAACTCACATTTCTTTCATACTTTAATGTTAAAACTGAAATGCATGAGAGAACAAAAATGTTATGGTGTTCTTTTTATTTAGGGTCTACCTCTAATATCTAAAATCTACCAAAGAACAACAACAAAATTAAGTGCTCACAAAAAAAGTTTTTCTAGCATAATTCAAAAGTAAGACCTTATTTTTTAAAGCCTTTTTGAAATAGGCTATATGCTTGTTCTTTTTTCCAGATCAGAACATAGGGTGTTACTGAGATGCTCTGAATTGTGGATAACTATAAAAATTGTTACTGGGCAAACTTACACTTCAGATTTATGGACTGAGCCACATATAATAAAGTGTCTCTTGGTTATTAATCCAGAAGATATAGGCCTATTTTGGGTTTTTTTTCCGGCATTGTTATGTTGCTAAGGGTAAGTTTTTAAACATCTTTTGCTAATTTATAGCAGGCATGATTCCTAAAGGTTTAATTTTAAGATTCTACAGAGAAAAGAAAGAAAAGTCCAGATGTTATGCTGCCTGATATAGACTTTTTTTCCCTCTAATGTAAATATTGCATGTTACCTAGATAAATACTTACACCAAGGTCTTGCCTAAAGCTAATATGATGAAATGTATCTGTAGCTCTTTAGATAACAAACTGCATTGTACAAGAGACTAAAAATTGAGAAAAAATACTGATTTGGTATTTGTACTTGCAAATGCCTTAACTAGTAAGGAATGACTTAATTTTTTACTTTACCATTTTGCCTTGACCCTGGTGTATGAATTAAAGGTCTGTGAAGATCCTGCTTCCCGACTGGATCACCTGGTTTGCATCTGGCCATTTATGCTTTTTCTGTCATACACAGGTAGAATTTTTCATGCTTCAAGGAAATTGCATTAAAATTCTACCTTCGTTCAGGCTACTATAACAAAATGTCGTAGATTGAATGGCTGCAAAAGCAGACAGTTATTTCTCACAGTTTTAGAAGCTGGGAAGTCCCACAATCTAGGTACTGGTAGATTTGGTTCTTGGTGAGGGCCCTCTTCCTGGCTTACAGATGGCCAGTGGCAGGGAGCAAGCCCTGTAGGGTCTCTTTTCATAAGGGCACTAATCTCTTATGTAAGGGCTCCACCCTCACAACTTCATCTAAACCTAATCACCTCTCAAAGGCCCCACCCCCTATCATCACACTGGGGGTCAGGGTTTCAACTGTGAATTTGAGGGGAGTGGGACACAAACATTCAGTCCACAGTAAATACTAATTCCTCAAATTGAGTTAACTGAGCCCTAAAGAATTTTAAAAGAGAAACTGTCTCATCTGAATAGCTGCAGTGACTAAGGCTTCTCTTGTTCTCTCTTGGATAGCCCCTTGAAATTAAATATGCCTTTTCTTACAAATGTTTGGTAAGAGGCCGGCGCGGTGGCTCACGCCTGTTATCCTAGCACTCTGGGAGGCCGAGGCAGGAGGAT